TTAATACTCTCTGGACACGTTCCTGTAACAAGTTCTCTATCCATGTACACACCATTTAATCTATGCCCATAGATTTCCCCTTGTGCATTAAGCGATTATGTGGTATCATGTCATGTTAACAAAGGGTATGCGGCCCCCCTCCACTGCCGTGCCCCCCCCTCTGCTGCTGCTTCGGTATCACAGTTAGGCACCCCAGTCTAATAACACAAGGAGCCGCACAACGGCCACGACCCACCCCCACGAGTGCGCTAAGCAATCAGTCTTCATTTTCCAACTTTCTGCCGCTCTTTACAGCTATCCCGGGCACTGCTGTCCTCCCTACGGGCCCGAGACCAGCAAAGCGACTGGTCACACTGTAAGCGTAGGAGAGATCAGCATTCTCCTACTTTCTCTGATCTCCAAAGGCGGCGGTGATGTGTATTACATCACGTCTGCCTTTAGCTGTCATTTGTCTGGCTGCTATAGCCAGAGAAGAATTGGTGAATCAGATCTCTGCTTCCTCAGCTTCTTTGGGGGTCCCTAGGTGACATTAGGGGTCTTAGAGACCCCTGATGTCTCCCTAAAGAGGACCTGTCATTGTATATTTGCTATCACATAGGGGGCTTGTTATATAAACTGTCCAGTAATACATGACAGAATACTTCCTTGTCAAAGAATTGCAGAAATGTACACAAGTGAATACACAACTGCAATGTACAACACACATAATGTATATACACCTTACCACAAATCTAGCTACTGTGTAAAAAAGGTTAAACCTGGTCCTTTAAGGGATCCCCCCCACCTTTCTGTGGCGAAACACAGCATGCCCAAACCACAAAAAAATTGGTAAGATTACCAACTGTCCCATTAACAGCTCTACACCAGTCACAGAGCCCTCTTTGTTTTATTGAACGGCAGGCCGATTTTATAAATGGGATGGGCCACAGAGTCTGCGTAGCAAAGTGGTGCAAGGCAGAAAGCAGATAGCGATATAACTTTATTATATTCTTTTCCATGTTTCTTTTTTTTTTAAGTTTTGAGGGGCAGGTGCTTATTCACGTGCTGTATATTGCAGTTTTATATTCACTTTATAACATACTTTTTCAGGATTCTTTTAAAAAAGTTTTGAGGGAAGATGTATACAGTATATGTGTGATGTACACTCACCGGTCATTTTATTGGTACACCTTGCTAGTACCGGGTTGGACACCCTTTCGCCTTCAGAACTGCTTTAATTCTTTGTGGCATAGATTCCACAAGGTGTTGGAAACATTGCTCAGAGATTTTGCTCCATATTGACATGATAGCATCACGGGCCCAAAGTGTGCCAAGAAAATATCCCCCACACCATTACACCACCACCAGCAGCCTGAACCATTGATACAAGGCAGGATGGAAAATCCCAGTAGATCAGCAGTTTTTGAAATACTCACACCAGTCCGTCTGGCACCAACAACCATGCCACGTTCAAAGTCACTTAAATCCACCCTTTTCCCCATTCTGATGCTCGGTTTGAACTTCAGCAAGTCATCTTCACTACGTCTAGATGTCTAAATGCATTGGGTTGCTGCCATGTGATTGGTTGATTAGCAAATTGTGTTATCAAGCAATTGAACAGGTGTACCCAAGAAAGTGGCCGGTGAGTGTATATTACAGATATAAATTAACTTTATTATATACCTTTCTGCCATTCTTTTGACAAGGAGGTACTCAGTATCCAAAAAGACTTGTATCAAATTACAGGGAACTAAAGGGAGTCCGGCAAGCAAGACCCTTCCTTACGTGAGGCAAAGGGAGGCAGATGGTGCTCTACAGGGGCTACATAACATAAGCTTCTTATTATGCCCATGACACCTTTATCCTCTGTATACACAGGGAAATCCCCACTGTGTACAGGAGAAACATAGGATGCAATGTGGGAGTAGGTTAAACATTGAAGAGCTGCATCAGATGACAACACTAGAAAGATGATTTCTGCAAAAGGAGAGGTAAAAATGGCAACTCGGAAACATTTCTCTTGTTAAAAAAAACAATACATAGCTGGTGAGGGGGCTTTCTTTACACTGCACCTCTACAGTCATTTTAATTGTTATTAATATGGCCCATGCTGTACTATTTCAGAATGATTGCGACAGTTGTTCAAGATATAAATTAAAACATGACTGGCCTACATTAGAATCACACTACTGAATTAATATGTCAGCTGCCTCAGCGATCATTCCCATAAAGCCCTGATACTGGACACATATTAATGGTGCATTAATGCCATGACTGCTCATCTCTGACTTGTCTCTGGACTGAAGACGGTCAGCTATTTACTGCTGCAGTCATAGACCAGAACACATTTCAACGGTAAAATATTGGCACTGCCAAATTGTTTAAGCATTTTTCTAACATACAAAGAAACAGCCACACAAATTATGTATAATATTCAAAACTTCTGTATTATTTTCAAAATATGTAAAAATCATTTAGCAATTTTAGTATAATAGCTTCCTCTTAAAAATAATAGCCAAATATAGTTACAGAAAACAAATAAAATGAATAACTCAAAACACACAGAAAACATGTATTTATATATTTAAAGCAAAACTGTTCACAGCAAAAATGATTAAAGCTCTGTTGCTGCCTTGTCAGTAGGCATCTAAAACCATACCTAAATCCAAAATTAGGGTCCAAGAATTGGGTGTATTCTAGAGAGGGTGTTGCTAGGTAGCTGGAGGAGCAGAATGTGAATGCATTTACCTGAGAGCTGCAACTGAGTAGGTCCCTCAGCATTCTGAATTGCATGACATAAACCCAGCCTTAGTAGTTCTGTACTGATGGTACCAACATCTGCAGAGTGTTAATTTACTTTGCTGATGTCAGCACCCCAGGGCAGTGCTGTGGCGACTTTGTCATATAACCCCAAATTGGAGCATTACAAGACCTGTAAAGTAAGCCTGTACTAGTGCTAGGAAAAAAGTAGGAATACACTCATTGGGGTGACCATTATAAAGTGCCACTTTTACTTTGGCTGGTTTATCCAAAGTACACGTTTACTCACAGGTAGGTTTATACACATCGTATTCCCTAGCTAGCCTCCTTTCATAATTATAATGGACCTAAACTATGAATATATTTCTGCTTCAAGGTGGTCTGTACATCCCTTCTTTCAAATTTTCTCCTGTGCAACCCAGGGGTCCCAGAATGTGTGTTTCATGTATGCAAATTATGACCTTTAAACTATGGAACAATGGCATGGGACCTGCAGTCCTAGCTGATACTGGGCTTCTGGCCTGGGCCAGTTCACTCAGCCCCCTTTCCCTTTGCAATTCGCTATCCTGCTCTATGGTGTTTAAATGTACAGCTAATAGAGCACAGCAGAGGTGCAGGCAAACAATCCCCAATCCCAAGATCCCATGGCTGAATGTAGAGCTCCGTTGACCATGGATGCAACCTGATGCGTTCCTTATGCTTGCATGTGGTCTGCCAAACTGTCAAGAGCAAGGGATACATCTGAGAAAGTATAAAAAGTGGCACACTGAGGGAAGAGGGCATTGTTAAACACCATAGAGTATAAGTATAGGGGGCCCTGCCAAATTTTGCATCTGGCCCTCTAAAATATGTCAGTACAACCTATAGAGAGGTGCATTGACTGTGTGGGGGTAGTAAATGGAAGTGGTGCTATAGCGCTTAAATTTGCAAATAGGGTGTTCAGGTTTGGAGCTTAAAGGAAATGCCTGAATGTTTTTTAAAAGATGCAAGATATGTACAGTCACCTAGGAGTACCTTCTAATAACACAACATTTAAAGGGTTATTCACAAAAGGGTGAAGAGTTTGGAGCAGGCAGGAGAAGTGAACAATCTAGGACAACATAGCTGAACTGGAAAGTCAGCTGAATAGAACAGCTATTTTGGCCTAAATTGTTCACTTCTCCTGTCTTCTCCAAACTCTTCACCTTTTTGTGAATAACCTTGTTAGTTTCACATCAAGAAATATAAATAAAGTGTCCATGTCACAGTACAGAGAATTTCCAATGCTACACTGATGAGGCTAATAAGCTTGAAACTGTTGTATGCAAACTAAGAAAATGGTCTTCGATCTACAGCATACTTATGATACGAAGCACCATGTACCATTATTGATAGTGAAGAAATGTGAATACATCCTTCTACATCCTTAAATGAGGACTAAACCCCATGTTTGGTTTTTCACTTGTGATGAAGCAATGACATATAAATCCCTTTCATTCTGAAACAATGGCTTGCTTCACAGCATTTAGGGAAGGCTGTCAGATATTTTGGTCCATTTCATCATAACCTGAACGGTTGCATAGGTAAAGGCACAGCAAAATGTCTATGTCTGTATCATTTGGGAAGCTGGGGTTAAATAAACGTTTTAAAAAGGAATCTTAAGATTAAAGAAAAAAAACAAATACTGTATAGGACAGCACAAAAAAGTGGAATCTCAATCCAGTTAACACTACAATGAGCTTTCAAATCCTTCATTTCCATATTAGTTACAGGCATCAATACTGAATGAAAAGTCCCAGCACTGTGGCCGAATCAAAGTCCTTTTGCTTGTATTTTTTCTCATCCCACGTTATCGAAAGTTGACTCCAGGCCTATATATAAAACCTTTCAGTTGACTTGCATCTACCCACAAAAGTCAATAAGCTGTTCTTCAAGTTCATTACCTGAGATGTCTTTGCAGCAGACTGCTATGCAGTCTCATAGCACAGTAGGGTGGACAGATCACAGAACTATATACAGTACATTGCTTTACAAATCTTTGTTCAGCTAAAACAGTTCCTATATGCATGTTTCTACCAGGTATTTGGCTGCCTGCCTTGAGCTGCCCCTTAAATATTGTACCACCATCCATGTTCGAACATCTGTTAAGTTCACTGTTAAAATATTACAATTTGACTTATCTCCCCGCAGTTAAAAATCATCCCACATTTTGTAATATATATTTTTAGCACTGATATCAAGAAACCAGGATTCTGGTTAACATTTACTTGGACCGAAATATGCTAATTAATTCCAAGCCGGTGTTCACCACGTGCGATGTGAGATGAGAACTCGTAGCGATCCTGGCTACGATGCCCACATATGTTGCACTCGAAGGGATCTCGAAAACCATGGCACCCCATATGAATGGTGAACATGACATAATCCAGAAAAAGAACATGACAGTGGTCACATCGGTACACCCCTAATGGGCACCCATCCTTGCTTAAAAGCTGCAGAAGGTCACGCTGTGATAGACCAGGGTGTTTTAAGATGTCGAAGCCCCTGGAGTGCTCTTTAGGGGGATGAAGAACACTGTTTGTCCGCATTGGGCCCACATTTAAGTTAGATTGATAAGATGCCCTTTCTTCATGGCTACTATCTGTGTCAGTCGAATCATGAGCATTGGCACCTGGGGACAGGTTCCTCTCTGGAGCTGGCTTCTTTTCCTTCATTGGCTGGGACGGTAAATGTCCATTGGACATATCAATACGCGTGAGTGGTAGTGGGTAGAGACTGCTGATAACCGGCACCATTTCAGCAGTAGGGGTAGGTGGAGTGTGAACCAGAGGGCGTAAGACTCCTGAACTCAGGTAGGCTATAGGACTCCCTGTATTCTGTTCCAAAATTCGTGGAGGCATCATATCATGATCCTTATCATACAGGAAATTGTTGTATGGTACCTCAAAACACTGTCTCTTCTCTCCTGCGGAAGAAAACATCCAGAGAGTTAGTACAACCCAAAAATGTAAGTTAAAAAAGAAACATCAATGCTTTGGTGTCTACCAACATCCCCTTAGCAACACTCACACACACACACTCCCCAAAACATTTTAGGGGTTCAGTGTGGGCTGCTGTGCTGTGACGAAGCTCCATCCATATGTGTACTGCTTGTATAGCTCCCTTGCACTCCCTGTAGAGGTGACGGGAGCCAGAAAGTGATGTTACTCCGGTCACACGGGGGAGCTGTATGCAATGGATGAAGCTCCCTCGCGCCCATACCTCCAGCCCACCCCACCCCACCTCAAGCTGACACTCCCCATTGGGGGGCATATTTTGAATGGTTGCTTGGTACGAGAACTGGCATTGTTGCGCTATGGGGGAGACTGAGAAGACTCTCACGTAGTGCAGTGGAAGGCATGCAGCGACCTACTGAACATGGGGTTGCGACCCACTTTTGGGTCATGACCCTCCAATTGAGAACCAAGGCTCTAAACCATCCTGTGTCTAGGTACCTGTGCTGCATACATCAAATCAATCTACAAAGAGAATTAAGTGTAATCTAACATCAGAGGTACATGTGGGTTGCCATTGCTGATTTCATTGTGAAAATGTTAGCTGCCAGGCTGTCATGTTGATCCTCTGTCTGCAATGAATTCTGAGTTAATAGCCCAGAATAAGTATGCCGATCAGGAGTCCTAACTTCTCGCCTGAAAAGAAGTGGTCCAAGTACGGATAACTTCCTTCTCTTTTTACTTTGAAAACATGCAAGGTCAATATTCCAACTCGTTGGAAGACCCTGGTGGCAAAAACAAAAGTTTCTGACGTGTAACACATCTATTATGGAACTCTAAGTGCACCTCTAATCGGTCCAATCCTTGTCAATGTGTTTTATTAGGTGTTTATTTCAGGCTGTTTTATGACCAGCCTTAGTGTCACTATTTTTCCAGCTTTCCACAACAGCCAATGTCTGGGTGTATTTACTTTTATCCATGTTGCATGCTATGATAAATTACATCATATTGTGGTAAGAAATGGGGAGGAGAAAAGATGACACTTCAGACTACGAAGAGAACTTAAGACACAAAGGGTAAGTTATTTCCTGATTCAGAACCCTTCAGCAAAATGCAGTAGATGGAATGTAGAAAAGCCAGTTCGCTACTGGAATTATACTCACAATGAAAAACAACATATTGTGTTAAGTTTGAATTAAGTCCCCCTTACAGTGCAGAAGCAGAAAGCTGCAGCCCCACATTGCATATGGAGAGAAAGTGTATAAATGTTTTCCCTGTGAAGAAGTGAGGAACAGCAATTCATATATGACCCAGACTGTGTTGGGGCTATTGCAGAAAGTCACAACTCAACCAAAAAAATGGGTACTAAGATTATACATTACCATTCCTCATAGGAGGAACAGCAGTTAGTATATGACTCTGCTTCCAATCTCTAAACCATCCAGTCTTTGCTCTGCAAAAGCATCTTACCAACATGCCATAGTAATAAGAGGCGGGGGTTGACTGGGATGTTGTCAAGGATTTGTTTCCTCTCCTAGGGTGAAGTGGTATTCACAAAAAGCAATACGTACTGTACACTGCCATCTTCTTTCTTGCCCTTGCCAGATGTAAATCAGAAACTGGTGGAATTTACAACACACTGCAATTTTCACCATGCAGAACAGAAGATGTTTTGATAACCGCCAACATTCACCGTCCTAACGTAACAGTTTTTTCAGGGTGGTACAGTGTCTTTTGCAAAGCGGAGAGAATGAGGAATTGAAAGACATAAGGGAGTAGGTACCCCAACCAGCATCTTATAGTGCCTTTTACATGGGTGGCACCCTGTGCATCCCTCAGCTTTGTTTACTGAGTGTGACTTCATACCTCTTGCACACCATGTAATATTAGTCACTGACATCTTCTCACTACCTGAAACCTGAGAGCCCCTTGACATAACAGATAGGCTTTTATGAATCACTGTGTAAACAAGGCCGGGTCCTCAGGAGAAATTGCTCATGTTAAGAAAGTGATGACAGCAGCAGAACAGCCTTCAGCTTTATCAGGATTTGTCTTTTGTGAAAGTATCAATTTAACAATCTCCTGCACAATAGACAGAGCTGCTAGAATAACAACAATGCCCCCAGTGGCTTGTTAGAAACAATCCCACACTTGAAATAAAAGTAACACAGATACCAGTTTTTTTTTAGAAACTTAGAAAATGTTTAGCATTCACGGCTCTGATCTCAACTATGCAGCTAAACTATTAAAACTGCTATTTTAGGTTTGCCTGAAACCTTGCAGTTTAGGCCTAAAAGAGGAAATGTGATCAAATATGGTGTGCATTCTTTTGGCACCAAGAAAGGAGTTAAACAAAAACATAAAGGTTAAGCTTGCTTTTTTATGGTTAGGATTAGGCGTTAGGCCCCGTTTCACAGCGGCTGATCAGGAGGGGATCCGTGTCCATTCAGTTTTTTTCCCTCCATTTTGCGATAGAAGAAAAACATGAAGTTACCAGACCCCATATCGGCCTATGATTACCCCCAATCTGGCACGATCAGGTCCAGTGAAACGGATCTCTGATCCATTTGTTTTTTCGGACTTGCTGGAGCCAGGGGTAACCGCGTGTGAACATACGCCTGTTTAACTAACATTGGGCATTCAATCGGGTCCGTTTGAAAAACTAACCTCTGTAGCTGCTGCTACTGTGAAGTAATGCATTCTTAAAGGTCCATGGAAGATCACAGCACAAAAAAGAGAGAGCTGTCAATTAACACAGGCAGGACTGGGTGGGGGTCTTGGCCACAAAACTTGCTACAGGAGATACAGGCATGCATGGTATCCTGTTTTCCCTAGCAGCAGTCCTAGGGACACAAACTGACCACACCGGCATGGATCTGCTTCCGTGCTTGGTGTATTCAGTTTGAAAAAAGAACCAAGGACAGCTTGTAGGATCATCAGGTATTTAGCATCATCAAACAAATTAAAAAAGAAGAGACTACATTTACAAAGACCTACATGAGTAACCAATCACATATACTGAATTTTTAGATTTTGGGGTAACATACACTTTAAGGTATTAAGGCTCAGGGCATGTAGGCAGTTTTTCTCTTCCTGCCCCAAAAACCCTTTGCTAGCCTTTTGTTGTATTATTTCAATACATTGTGTTAACATTTGTATGTTTACTTTGTGCTTTCCAAGGACTGTAAAGGCCTGAAAACTATTTTTTCAGTAACATCAAATGTAATGTTAACAGTAAATCAATCCAAAATATGTTTTTCTTGCTGTATGCCTATGTAGTATTTTCTAGATGGTGTTGGATACATAATGGTTCCTTACTGGTTGCCGTGCACACACACGATCAATGAAAACTATGACACTACAATGCAAGAAATATTGACGAATTAGTCCTTTACTCCCCAGGCACTGGCTTTCATACTAGTTAGTCGATGATGGTAGTAATGATTTCTTCTTAGTGAAGAAAAATAACAAAAACATTTACATTTCCCAGAAGCAATGGTGTGAGTGCTATGAGATACACTGCAATGAGTGTCACTTTGGTTCCACTAAAAAATGTATGACACAATAACCTTTACACTCTGCTGACTTGTGATAAAAAGGCTGATTATCACCCCCGCTGTTTCAATGGCCTTTAACACTTTCACATACATTCAGAGCTAATCTTCTAACCTGATTTACTCTCTGACTTTAAAGTTGAAAAAAATATACTTTTTTTTAGTATTGGATTTTTGGAGTGGGAAAGAATTAAACCCCATCTAGTTTTTATTACTTTGTCCCCACTAGGGCCATTCACCCCTCTATTTGTCCTGGTAATAACTGTCACTGGTATTGGTGATTGACAATTGAGTTGACACAAGAGTGAGACATGGTTAAGCATCTTCCAATTGTTCCTATGACAACTCTCTACGATAGGAAATGATGTTCCACTTTGAAAGATTTCCTCACATTTCCTGTCGCCTCTCTATTACAGGAAGTTAAGTGAAATCTCCCCAGCAAGGCAGAGGCAGCAAAACAAATACCATGTTAGTGGTTTTAACCCTTGCTACTCATAAAAATGAGTATTCAAGCAATCTAACCACTGTTGGTCTCCAAAATATGGCTCGGTCAAAGACCCTGGGAAGCCCATAGCATGCAGAGCCTCTGATTAAGGGGCAGATCCCCCATAATGTGTAAGTAGAAGGCGTGCAGAATGGGAATGGGCTGTACTGGTCAATGTCCATTCCATGGTCACTAAGCAAGCCATATTATGGAGTTTCAACAGTGGGTAAGTGGCTTGCCTGCACCAGCACAAGTTTTCTTTAAGCCCCATCCTCAGTAAAATATACTAATCTTCCCCCTGTTTCCCCGCAGCTCTGTTTAGTGTTGGAAGCCAAAGAAAACCCCCCTGAATATTGAGAAGCATGTGACCAAACCATGTGACAGTACGGGGTAAATTAGAGCTGTCATATAAACGTAAATACGCGTTCGATGCGGCAGCGTGCGAAAATGACAATTGCGCTACACATGTTACATATCGTCGCGAACGTCGGAGTGAGAGCAATCATTCTAGGGCCATCAATCACTGATAACACTAAACTGATGAGCGATAAAAGCTTTTAAAGCGTTGCCTATGGCAATTTTGGGTATTGTAGTTTATTTAGGTTTTGCGCGCGCAATTTTAAGGCTTGACATGTTTGGTGTATGTTTACCCGACGTGACCCCGTCTCTGAAGGGGGTCTAAACACCTGGTCTTGAAGTGGTTAATATAGGGGAAACAGTTTTTTTGTAAAACATTTTGGTAATTTTTCCTTAAAATTTTTTCCCCGTAAAAATTTTAATTTAAATACCACCAAAAGAAAGCTAAATCTGTCCATAAAAAATGGTATAAAATTAATTTCAGTACAGCGTTGCATGACAGAATAAATGTCAGTCAAAGTACCACAGCGCTGAATACTAAAAAATGGGCTAGATGGGAAGGGGGTTTAACACCGCG